GGCCTGACAAGCGACCCCAGGTGGCACAGGGTTCCGACCCGCAGTGTCCTGGCAGAGGCGCCTGGGAAGGAAACATGGATGTAGCTGGCCATGCGAATGGCAAAGTCAGGCCTCACCGGAGCCTCAGGCCCACCCTCCTCAGCGGGCCGATCCGCCGGGCCAGGGAGTTCCTGCTGTGCCCAGAGCTGGCTGGGGAAGGCGAAGCTTGTTTCTTACAGGAATTTGCTGGAGTGGGGTCATCTAAAGGCTGAAACTACTCCTGTGGGCTCAGGGGAAGCTGCTGGGAAGTGGAATGTGGTTCCAAAAGTGGTCACTGCAGGAGACCGAGAGGTGCAAGGTGCTGGAGCAAGTCCCGGTTGGTGGTCCGCCTCCTGCCAGCCACGCAGCCTTGCCCCATAGTTCAGAGAGAGAAGCGGAGACTGCGCCGTCGGGATTGTTGGCAGGTGATGGACAGTCGGCTTGGCTGCTGCTGATCTTACACGTGCACACGCACACACACGCCCACACACACGCCGGAGGGGGGTCATACGTGCCATTCAGTGAGTCAAATTTTTTCTGCTGCAAATAGGATTTTGAGTCCATTCATAACTCCTGTGGATTTCTATTTTGAACAAATGGTCTGTGAATTGGAAACATAGCTTTTTTCCTTTCGAGGCTGACTATAGCTAGTCGTAATCTCTGCACGTGAAAGCGTGCCCCTCACGTTCTGTGGCTTAAAACCAGAAGGCCACGCCGCGGCACCTGCCCCGGGTGTGCACAGGAGCCCCTCTGACAAGGCGGCGGCTCGGCTACCGGCCAGGTGTGGGTGCGGAGAACTGGCAGGGGCCTCTCTGCTGCAGCGGGGTCGCGGTCCCGCAGGTGGGATAGTGACCACCAGCTAGAGACACTTCAGGGGGTCAGCTCTGTCACTGGAGAAGATCATGGAGAAATGACTGCTGGATGAAGGCCAGCAAGTCGGTCTTCATCCTCCATTGATTATTTGCCACTTATTTTTCTTTTCTTAGTACAACTTTTTAAAAAGCCATTCTACTCATTGTGTATACCCAGCCCGGGAGGATTACTTTAAATATGCCATGCTCTCTAGTGGTCAGAGAATCCAAAACACGATCTTCCGTGGGCAGCGGCTCTGTTCGTGGGCAGCGTGGCGGCCTGGGCTCGAGCCAGAGGCTCCGGCCAGCACCGCGATGTGGGTCCAGCGGGGACCGCAATGAGGGTGGAACCCCACACTGAACCCCTCCCCCCACGGTGGGTGCGCTGGCAGGCCCGGTGACCCCGTGACACCAGGCTCGTGCTCCTGGGGGGCCCACTTGGCCCTCTGAGAGTGGGTTTGGGGCCTCTCACAATTAAAACTTAGCAAGAGAGCTAAGTGGAGTAAGCACCGGCTTTGGACCCAGGCAGCCCTGGGCTGGGGTCCAGTTTGGCCAGTATTTCACGCTGAGCTCAGCCCCTCGGCGACACGGCCGCGGGATCCGTCCTCCCTTGCGTTCTTGGGGTCTGAAGTGAGTGCACCGAAAATGTTGCCCTCAGGCTGGTAGCCAGGGATAGTAACAAAAAGCAGGTTATTATGACAGGAGTCTAGGCTCCAGAAAAGCCTTTTTTTTTTTTTTTCCAGCAACTAGGACCACACAGGTGAGCTGATTTAAAGCCCCTCAATCTATTAGGTCCGTTCTCTCTGCCTCAGTTCAACGCCCGCTAAGGATCACGCCACACTCACACCTGGCTGTCCATCCTTCTTTTTATTTTCACAAAGCACAGAGGCACGAGGGAACCGCCGGCAGGTGAAGGTCTGCACAGTGGAAACCACCTGACCAGCCCTGGCTTTGCAGGGCTGTCCGCGTGAACGTTTCTGTAAAGCGATTTGCCTCTGAAACTCTCCTCATGGTGGGGCGAGGAAAGGCAAGAAATCAACAGTCGCAATGACTTAAAATGATTTAAGAGCTAAACACAATATACATAGTAACTCCTTTATCCTAGTACAAAAATAGTGCCAGAAACTATATATTTGTTCAAATATATTGAAAAGGTATAAGAATACAAATAGGTATTAACAGTGGCTAGTGATGGTTCATACAGTTTTCTTAAACTGTAATAGAAATTTGTATTTTCAACTATTTACATGGCTTTCAACAGCATCATTCAGACATGTTTACACAGGCTTTTTTGTTTTTGTTTTTGAGAAGGATACAGAGGGGCAAAGTGAGCTTTAATCCTTCCTCCTCCGCTCCGGGCCACCCACGGAGCAGACGGGGCCACCGCGCGCACAGCCCCTCGGCCCGGGCTCCGCGGCTCCGCCCGCCCCGCCTGCGGACACGTGCTCACGTGCTCGTCCCCGAGGCGTCCTGGGCCCTGCGGCTCCCACTCGCCAGGCGGCCGCGTGGCCGCCGGCAGAGCCTTGCTAAGTGCCAGCGAAAGGGGCCCTTGGAAAACCATCACGGGTGAGAGCAGGGTGACACATCGTTCCCTCTGTGTCCGCGGTGAGGCCGCCAGCTGAGCGCCGAGCGGCTCGGTCTCTCCCCGGCCCTGCCGCTGAGACTGCGGGCCCCGGCCTGTGACAGCGCCGGTCACACCGCCCTGCTGTGCTGCAGCGGCCACCGGACAGGATGGCAAGGACACTTTCCCCCTCTCACCGGATCGTGTGACGACAAAGCGAAGCAGCGCTGCTTGTGGCGGCCTGCGAAGGGCCAGGGTACAATCTGGCGAAAACGCAGGAGAACGGACAGTCAGACCGGGCGCGGCCGACGCCCGTGCTCCGGGCGGAGCACCCGGGCACCTCGCTCCCAGGCAGGGGCCCTCCGGGCCGCAGCTTTGCCGGCCCGCGGCCCCCGCGGTGATGGAAGGGGCCGCGTTCAGAGTGCCGAGCTCGCAGGTGACCGCCCGGCCGGCCGGGCTCGTTCCTGGAGGCCCGCTGCTCACGGAGCTCTGCCTCTCTCGGTGACGCGGGCGAGCGGCCGGGCGAAGGCGCCGTCTTTGTTTTCTCCGTCTCGGAAGCCCAGCGGAAGCAACGACGTGTGGGGTTAGGTGGCTGCTCCGGGGCCCCGTGCCCCGTTCGGACAGTGGCGTCCGGGGCCCGTCGGGCCTGGCCGTGGAGACAGGCTTTGCCCAAACGCGGCTCCCCGCGCGGGCCCAGGCGCCCAGAGCCTGCGACCCGCACGAGCTCACGGGCCGGCTCGCGAGGCCAGCGCTCCGAGGGGGGAGGGCCGGCTGCCCAGGCAGCGTTTGAACAGCTGAGCAACAAGTGGGCGCTGCTGGGGCTGAAACTTGAAAAGAAACAGTATCATGTTGCTCAGCTCAAACCAGAACAAACTACTTGGGTAACATGAATACAGAGTAAGGCGGAGCGGGCTCTGCGCAGGGCGGCCCCGTGACGCTTTAGTGGTGCGTACCTGAAACAGGTTATTCTTGGATTGTTATTTATTATGGTATTGTTTTCCATACAGACGACTGTAAACCTACTTTGGCCCCACCGTGTGTGTGTGTGTGTGTCTCCAACTTACAAAGACACTGGACAGAAGATATTCACGCAAGAATGGAAAGTTTGATTTGTGCCCACATACCAGATACTAATCCATGTATGGAATGATTTTCCTAAAAATTATGTGAACCAGCTAACGGGCCGGAAGGAGCTACTCTTCTTCTGTATGGACGAAAATATCCAGGCATGGCATCGCCTAACTTCTAGTTTCTGAACTAGTGAAGGAAAACCAACATTATCTACAGGGAAACCAAACCACCTCTAATCTAAGTATATCTTTTTGGTTGTGAAAATGACACGCGTAAAAATCCCCCAGAGTCTACTATGTCCTTTAAAACTGCAGTGATGTGCGCCAGACAGGTCGAAACAAACCCCGAGAGCAGAGGCCCGCGGCCGTCAGCGCCGCCCCCGCGCACGGTAAGCGGGTGGGTGAGGGACGGCCGCGCGCTGCGCCCGGCGTGCGCGTGCGCGTCCTCGCCCCGGAGCGTGCGCGTCCTCGCCCCGGAGCGTGCGCCCGCGCGCACGCGACGGTTTCCGTGACAGCCTGTAAGGTGCACGCCAGTGCCACCACGAGGTTACCTTACAGGTCTCATCTGTGTGACAGGAAATAAAAACAGTGACATCCTGAAAATACAAGTGTTGTGACAAGAACACACAGCGCCTTCCACAGTCGCTAACTTTGTAGGCTGGCCTTTCCCGCTAGAAAGTAAAGGCCACGTGATATGTTTGCCGTATTTTTTGTTTTACCTGAATCATAAGAATAAAGACACATTATCTCAAGATACATATACACACCCAGATTTTTAAAAACTTAAGAAGCATGGTGAATTTTAGGCAGTTTAGAGGAAAGTGATACCAACTGAGAAGGTGTTTTAGTGAAAGAAAGGTCTTTGATAATACTGCGTTCCCATAACCCCGAGTGTTTCTATCCAGGTCAGCAACAGACACTCAGAAACATTTTTTTTGGCGGGGGCGGGGGAAGGGGTCTGTTAACAAATCAAGCAAATGCCTCTCTTCCTCCTCAAGCCCAACACTCCACGTATATGGAGCAGGTTTCCCAGAAGCAGCCGCCCGCTGCCGCCTCTACTTCTCGCACCAACCTCCTGGGTGCGGGGCACAGGCGCGCGCGCGCAGGCCCGCTGCCGGCTCTGGGGAGGAAGCGCCGCCGCCCCAGGGCGCAGGGCGGGGATTGGGCGCAGGGCGGGGATTGGGCGCACGCCCACGCTTCCCGGGCGCCGGGTCGGCTCCTCCTGGGAACCAGCGTGGGGCGCTGTCTCAGTGGCGCGCCCGGGACTGCCGACCTCCAGCCAGCCCCAGTCTCCCCACCCTGCCGCCCTGCGTTTTAATTTCCGGCCCAAGGTCAAGAACAGCCTTTTGCTGGACTCTCATCTACAGCCACACCTCGTGGCAGGCCCACGTGCCAGCGGTTCCTTCTCCCGATTTCCGTGGAGACACACACCGGGCACGAATGAACTGGGGCTTGTCAGGATGGACGAGCAAAGCGGGGCAGAGCCGGCCGCCGCTGCGTTCCCGGACCGCCCCCGTCCCTCGGTAAATCAGCGATGGCCGGTTCAACGGCACCTCTGCTTGGCGATACTGCCGTACAGCGCTTCCCGTTTGTTTCGGAGTTTTAACTTTCTTGTTAACATAATACATTGTTGACAACTATTCCCCCATTCCCCTGAAAATCCACTCAGCCCACAATTTTTCTCTATCCTACGAAGGTTTCAAATGTCCCCGAATATATTCAATTTTCTCCTAGTCTATTTTTAAGGAAAGATTCCAAATATTCTTGAAAGATTGGTAATTCCAGAACAGCAAAACTATTTAAAATTCCCAAGCAACACCAACCACCCCGAGCGCAAGAGCGCAGCTCGCGTTCCAGCGCGCAAGCACCTGCTGGGCCTGCGGGGGCCACGAGGTGATAGTGAGCTTCGTGCATCATCCGCTCAGTGGCACAAAACACACACAGATGTGGAATCGCCCCGAAGAACAACCGTTCCCGCTGTGCTCTCAAAAGCTGTGCAAAAATACCAAGACAGCGAGCCGTGGAAAGGACCGCCAGCCTTGCAGTGTCCGGCGGGGCAGGGCGCGCCGCCCGGCTGTCAGCTCCGCGGGGCCTGCGCCCCAGCCCCGTTCCCCGGCGCCAGCTCCTGCTGCTGCGCGAGGGCCTGCCACTTCTGCCTGTTCTTCCTGCAGCCGTCCAGCAGGGGGAAGCAGTCCTGGGACACGCGGGTCAGGGCCTGGGGAGCAAGACAGGGGAGCCGCTGGGAGGCGGAGCGGGCGCCCCCACCCAGGCCGCGCCCGCCCCACTCACCCCGGACAGAACCCTAGTGGGCCTTCGCGCGCTGTGACCGCTGAGTGGCCAGTCTGAGCCGGAGACCCGGGGCACACACACACATTCCAAAAATGACAGCGCCGCGCTGGGCGACTCGCTCTGCAGGGACACCAGCCACTTTGCCCTCACTGGGCACACGTGTCTCTCCCGGCCTGCGACTGGACTGGGACACTCCGGCTGTCGTGTTTTTCTATAAAATGGTTTCATGCCATGCACTTCAATCGGTTTTTTGGTCCAAGATTACAATAAAGGTTAATCCATAACTCTTTGTGGTCTGTTATTATTTAGCAACTGTAATGCCATAAATATTTAGATGAATGATGTTCATTGCGGATTTCTCTGTGAAAGGGAAACACTGACTTAAATGCCCAGCGCCGGGGCGGGGTGATTACTAGTTTGCGGCCTTCACCGCTGCCATGGAAAAGGGGCCGACAGAGAAAAATGCACATTATGATGCATTATGAACTGCAACAAGCAATTTTTATAAAAAGAAAAAAGGAAAATGTGAGGGCGTATGCAAGGGGTACCCCCCGAAAAACCGGAATTTATCAAAAATTGTCCATGTCTTCTTACGTGTTTAAACTTCAGTCACCCTCAAAGTGCTCTCCATTTGATGCAATACACCTATTGAGACTTTTTTTCCCCCACTGCTTAAACGTTTTTGAACTGGTTGATTTTGATGCCTTTTAGTGCTTCTGCCGTTTTTTTGTTTGGTTGGTTTTTTGGTTTCACCTCCTCCACGGCAACTGTTCTCCTGTAAGGACTTTTTTTATCCAGGGAAACAAAAAAAAAAGTCGCTTTGGGCAAGTCGGGTGAATGAGGAGGGCGGGGCACAGGGGTCTCGCTGTTTTTGGTAAAAAACGGCTCAACTTTCAGCTCAGTGTGGGCAGCGCGCTCAGAGCGCTCGATCACTTCACCATCCTAGAGACAAGGGCAGCCTCTCACAGCGCCAGCTGGTGCACTGGTACGGTCGGGTTCCTAGAACACTCTCCTAGCAGAGGAAGCCTGTACTCTAAGGGGCCTGCCCTCCAGAAGATAATTCTGTTTTTTGGGGGGTCCCCCTCATACACTGATAGGTTACCAGCAGTGGAATTATGAGTCGTTTTATCTTTCATTTTGCTTCTCCTCATTCTCTCATTCAGTGAGAATCTTATTCTGTAATGACTGATAGTAAACACATGCATCAGGATCTGTAGAAGGAAGGAGTGGAGTCCGTGAAGCCCACGCACACGTGGACGTAGAGGAAAGCCCTAGCCCGCGAGGCCTGTTGTTTTGGCTGCGTTTTCTGGGCTTGGGGAAAACTGAGAGACACGTGAGCCTCTTGAACCGAGCACTCTCACTCCGGGGGAGCGAGCCTGCGTGCGAGCAGAAACGGGGGTGGCAGGCAGCACTCAGAGCCCGGCTGCGCAAGGGAGTGGGCGATGGACCCGAGGCAGGGGGGACGCGTTGTCCGTGGGGTCCACCCACACACCCCTCTTTTCCCTTCCAGCCCCTCCATCCCCGCTTCTCTTCAGCAGCCCCAGCTTTTCTGGGAAATTCTTCTGATGCCTGGACCCCAGGCTCGGGTGGGAACGACCATCCATGCACCTGCCCGACTGGGGCACGCAGCCCAGCGTCCTGGGAGACGGACGTCACAGACCCAGGGACGTCTGGGCAACGTCTGGATGGGAGGACTCTGGGTCACTTCCGGCCTTGGCTTCCTGTGATGTCACCAGGAGAAATGTTCTCTTCCCAATGAAGCTTGGGCAGTTTCCTGTCTAACTTTTAAAGACAAGGACAGCACCTCTTTTCTGTACTTGGGGCGTAAGCACCTAAATTAGTAAACTGGATGTTTTAGGCAGAATATCTTCAACTCAGAAATAAAAGCCCCAAGCCAGCAGGTGCATGGAAATGGGAACCCGCAAGGTCCTTCCAGCCGCCTCCTTTCAGTCCTCGGGAGAAGCTGACGAGTGCTGTTAACGCTGCAGTATTCAATGAGAAAGAGCAGGGTGGTTTTCTTAATTTAGTCCAAAGCTTCCACCTAAAAAGAATATGCTGACCAGTGTGTGCCCAGCACCTCCTCAGGGACAGCGCCAGCATGTTGTTCCTGGCGTCCCCACGCCGGTATAGAGCCGTGTGCACAGCAGGCACTCAATAGATGCTTAGATTTTGAGGCATTCAGATTTTTGAGAAATTGTAAATATAAAATGTGTTCCCTGTTCACTGCAAACAGCATGGGCATCAGCAGAAGGAACAACCCATATAAGCCTAACGCCAACCGCTTCCCTTCACTTGAGGCTGCAGTGCCTAACAGCCCGGGCTTAGGAAGCCCAGCCGTTCATGGCTTTACCTCATACAGCTGCAAGCAGATGGCATCGATGAAGCCGACTTGCATGCTCGGGATTTTGTTTTTCTTCTCCCTGTTCATGAGGTCCTGGAAACACAGACACAGGAGCATGCACTCAGCCGCCTGCCGTCACTTCACGGGCCCCGCGCCCGCTGGCTGGGGGCCAGCCTCTGGGCCAGCCTCTGAACGCCTGCGACCTGCGCGCCTGCCCCCTCGCCCCCGCCGGCCTCCTGCCCTGTCGCTGGCACCATGCGCAGGAGGGCCCCGAGCCTCTCCCTGGATATTCCCTTGTTTGTCCTGGCTGCGACCTTCCCTGCAGGACCAGGAACTAACTGCTGACCTAGAGCTGACCCCCTGACCTAGACTTGATCCCTGACCTAGAGCTGACCCCTGACCTAGAGTTGACCCCTGACCTAGAGTTCATCGGTGACCTGGCCTGAACTCCACCTGCCCACGGTCAGCCACAGTCCACAGCTGATGTAGCATCGCCCGCTGGCCTGTATTTGGAGAACACACAGGTTTGACTTGTGCCCTGCTGTGGAATCGAGCACGACTGCTCCGCAGAAGAAGGCGCCGAGGCCATGGGTGACTGTGATTGAGTTCCCATGCTCCGCGTGAAAGGCAAGTTTGTGTAAAAGGGACCTTCAAAACCTGTGTGCCCTTCAACACAGCAGTCCTGGGGGCTGCTAACGAGATCCTCTCCTAACGAGATGATGGAAGCGTTTAGCAGCACAGACGTTTATCACAGCGCTGCTTGGAACAGCGAGCGGCGCACAGAATACACTGAAGGCAGTGGGTGGATTATAGTTACATCTGTTTTATGTAATCGTCTAAATAGCATAGAGAAGGGCATCTGTCAGAGTGGAAAGTGGCTTAGGATATTTAAATGGAAAAAGTAAATTACAAAAAAGTAGGCATAATATGATGAAAAATACAATAAAAGTGTGTTTCTAAGATCTCAATGACACAAAGATGTTTACAACAAAAAGGTATTTGAATAATTGTTGGAATAATTCCCACCAATAGGTCTCATACTCACATCAGGCTCTATGTTGAGTTCTTCCCTCTCTTTGTCGCCTTGGTCAAAAAACTCGGCCGCTACCAGCTCAGCTATCTGGAACAAATGACAGATGATGGGCTGGCGGTTAAAAGCACATCGCCCTGTACAAGAGATTTTGCATGAAGGTGATAAAGTCTATCAGATCCGTAGCTTTCAGACACATCGGTAAAATTAGAATAAAGCAGTGATGAGGAGGAAAGTTATACTTTATTTGCTGTAAATGTATGCCTAATTACAAAGGCTGGAGTCTGTAATCTTCTGTAACTACACAGAAAAAGGTTAACATAGCATTTCAACTTCGGCCCATCTGTACGCATAATCAAGGACGTATCAAGCACCTGCCATTCCCGGTGCTGTGAAAAACATCAAATAGGTGTGTACGTCGCAGCTGATTCATAGATCTTGTAAGTTTTTATTCATCTCCAGGATCCTCCTCTTCTGTCACCATTTTCCTTTATTTTTTGCTGCTGTTCTGGTTGAATAAACCGGGCCATTCATCCCGCAGCGTCCGCTGTCTGGGGTTCGCTGATTACCTCTCTCTGACGTCATTGCACATCTCTGCGCCCCGCTCTCGAGCGCCGGTAATGAGATTGGGAGACTTGATTAGATTGCGCCTGGGGCTGCTTTTGTTTGTATCTGTGCCAGGGCGGCTTCCAGGGCAGCGCCGTGCGCTCCGGCCTCGGGCGGTGCTTGCGCAGCGGGCTCTCTTTTGTGACGTCAGCCACCGCAACTGATCTCCGTCTAGATCAGTTCCCCGGGGGCTGCGAAGGCTGAGAGGCAAGCAAAAGCAATCCTTCCTTTTTCCTTCGTTAGTTGAAGTACAATGAAGAGAAAGTTAATTAGTTACCCTAAAATATTGGTATTTAAAAAAGCTAGAGAAATGCTTGATCTTCTCCACATTAATTACCATAAAAAAAGTAACTTGGTTCTCCACCAAAGCATTCACCAAAGGTGACCAGGGAAGGTGATGCTTTATCATCTTCAGTAGTACTTTGAACTCTCCCATTAAAACGTATTTAATGTATTTGGACCCCTGGACGCTCAGACTGTTCCACCCCGGCCAGTGGGGGCTGCCAGGCCATCGGTCTTCCTGCCTCCTTGCCCCGGCTTCCAGCTGCTGTGGGCCCACCTGCGCGTCACCTGCTGCAGGAGCCACCAACGTTTCCTTCCCGAGCCCTTCCGCCCCTGCCTGAGGTGCTGGGACCCTCAGCCTGCAGGAGGTGCCTTCATGTACCGGCTGGTCGCTCTGCAGCTTGTGGGGTGGGGAGGCGGTGTTCTCCAGGGGCTGGAGCTGCAACTGAGCACATGCTCGCGCGATACTTCGGGCTCGCACTCGGGACACCGGGGTTTCTGCCTGACGCTGACCCCTTCGGTCTTGACCTCCACTCACTCTCAGAATCCCAGGTCTCAGCAGCCCGAACATAATTTCTTAATGTGCTTTTGTGCTACATCACCTACGATAGGGATCGGACAGCTAGACACCACCGCCGCCAAAGACAGGATTTCTGAAAACAGTGGTAAGGGCTTGTTTTGACAGCTTTTTGTCTTTAAGGAACATCCTATTACAGGTGCACAGTCCAATTACTGGGTTACTATCCCTAGGGATGGATCAGCCTTCCCCAGTGCGGTTTCTCAGCCAAAACCAGGTTTCCTTCATCTTACTTTCAAGGTTCAGGGATGATTAAAACTCAATTTTATTTTTTGATTATAGGCACTATTTACACGGTCCCGAAGTTGAATCTACAAAACAGGGCCCTTCATGGAGCTCCAGTATCTGTCTGCTCCCTCAGTCTGTCCCCTCCTTCCCTAAGAAGGAAAACCGTTAACTCTTCTTGTGGTTAATCCTTTTGGATTTTTTCCCCCCCTTAAAACATGCCCTTGTGATCACTCCACCATGGTTTACAGACAGTCCGCATTTCTTCGTACAGTTGCGTGGAGCTTACCTGTGTCAATGTGCTGATCAGTGCTTGGGAGGTTCCAGTCTTTGCTGTTACAGACAGCATGGAAATGAATAGCCTTGTGTAAACATCTCTTTATTTTCTTGTAGTATGTCTTTGGGATTAGATTCCTAGAGGTAGTGGTAAGTGAACACGTGTATTTAGACACTTCCAACGGGTTAAAGTATCTTGTATTCCTTGTTTTTCCACAGCTTTCCCAACAGTGACTGTTGTAAACCCTTTGCATTTTTCACAATTGGACAGTTGAGAGAAGGTATCTCATGGTTTGGCCTTTTTTTTTTTTTTTTTAATGAAATAGCATTTACATACTGTGACTCGCACAGATCACAGGTATACAGTTCACTGTACTGACACACGCATGTAACCATGTAACGTGCACCCAGCCAAGTGCAGGGAACTTCGGCCACTCGCACGGGGCCCTCACCGCCCTTCCCAGGCAATGCCTGCCTCCTTCTTCCCGTCCCTCTTGACCACTATTTTCATTTCTTTCACTTTACATTAGTTTTGCCTGTTCTAGAACGTCATAGGCATGAAATCACAATGTGTGTTCTTTAGCGTCTGGCTTCTTTTGCTCAGCAGAGTGTTTACAAGACTGACCGACGCCGCTCCACGTCTTGGCGGTCACCTCCCCCCGCCGGGCAGCGCTCTGCCAGAGGCGGAACACACTGCAGGTGCGGTCCCTTCTCCTGCAGACAGACGCTTGGGTTTATTTCAGTTTCTGACTATGGGGAATAAAGCTATTAGGAAATTCGGTACAAGGCTTTTGTGTGTGTGTGTTGGTGTAATTTTAATTTGCATTTTTCTTATGATTGAGGTTCTGAGGACCTCGTCAAATGAGTAAGAGTCACTCACATGTCTTTTTCTATCAACTTTTGTTCAAGTCTCTGGCCCATTTTAGAGTGATTGGCCTTTTTCTTCTTTATTTTTTAGTTCTTTAATATTAGACGTGTTAACTACCAGACAGAAGCTGCAAATATTTTTACCAGTTTACCATGGTCTTTTACTTTGCTTATAATGTCTTTCCTCATTTTTTCATTTTTATGGAATCAAATGTATTAGTCTTTTCCTTTATTGTGTTTGCATGTTGGGCCATGGTTAGGAAGGTTTTCTCCCTCCTGGGTTACAGAGGAACCCAGAAATGTTTCTGTTTGTACTTGGATGGCTTAATTCTCTGCGTCGAATGCTCGGCTCCACTGGGGTTTCAGTTGCAGAGCAGGCCCAGTTTTGCCTCCGGCTCCCTGGCTATGGGGATGGGAAAACACCCTAATGTTGTTTAGTGACAAGTCTGCCTTTGCCCGGTGATTTTAAAAGCCGCTTTCCTGCACACTCAATGTTCTAGGTGACGTCCCGCGAGGCGTCGGCCTCCACTGGCCTGGCGCCCACACCAGACCCTTCTGACCCGAGGCTTCGTGGTATCGGGGCTGGTGTTCACCCCCGAGCCCCAGCCTCGCTGCGCTCCCCTCCCGGGGTCGCGCTGGGAAGACAGAAAGGGTAAAGGAAAACACCGATTCTTCCCTGTCCCATTATTAAAGGGCTGGGCTGAGAACATCTCTCAGTGAGCCGGCCGTAGTACTTCCCGAAGTAAAACTGCCGCGATGGTCTTGCTGCGTTAATACAAATGTTCTCTTCCTTCTGTGACAAATATTATTAAGTGCTAAGGAATCGCCTTCAAAACAAACTAGTGCATGTCCAATGATCTGTTCCTGATACTACTTAAAAATGAGTAAGTTCCACAAGGACTTTAGAGGCTGCTCTGAAGAGTAAAGACTTTTCTTACTGTGACTTTGCAATGAGCGCGTTTACCGGCCGGAGCGACCTACCCGCTGCTGGATGGGCCAGGGCTTGGTGATGGCGGAGAGGTCGCACGCGGTCATCAGCATCGCCCTGTTCGGGGAGAGAGAAGCCCCACAGCCCCGTTTACTCTGGTGGGAATATCGCCCTCCGGAGATGGTTACTAGTGACAAAGCTGCATTAAAGCCCCCCAGCCCCCGGGGAGGGTGGTTTATAAAGACAAAGGAAACACACACAGAGCTCGCAGGGCACTGTGTTGCTGCCGCAGCGGAGGGCCACCAAGGCGGCCGCCCAGCGAACTACTGGCATCGGCCCCCACGCCGCCCCTTCAGCCCCAGATGGCAAAGGTAGGCGCAAACATACTGATTACTAGTAATTAACCGTTAAATGGTGACAGGTCCCGCTGATAAAAGCCCTGGGAGAGCAGGAGGGAGGGTGGCCGTCCTGACTCCGTCCCCCACGCAGGGGCTCGGCGTCCCGAAGCGCGCCTGCCGGGGGAGCCAGGGGCGACGCTCTTGGCAAAGGGGCCCCGCCGCCCGGGGCCGTGCCAGGCGCCCCAGGACGCAGTGCTGAGACTGCGGCGTGGCCGCGGCGCTGTCTTGAGCGTGGTGTTTTCTGTGTCTGATCCAAACACCTGCCATTTCATGCTGTTTGAAGGGGCGGCAGGAAAGCCCTTGCTGAGTAGCAGGGACACTCGAGGGATGGCCTGCATCTCTGGTCCCCCAAAAGCCCCTCCTCCCTGAGGACGCTCGGCCACAGAGAAAATGGGTGCCTACCACTTCTCTGCCTCTCGCACGACGCTCCTGTGAGAACCGTGCGCCCTGCAGACAGGGCAGTCACCGTGGATTTCGGGGTGCCCGCCAACACCAACCGCCCCTTCCTCCCCGAACATGCCACACCTCTGTGCGTGAAGCTTCCGCCTGCAAAGTCGGGGAGCAGAGCTTCAGCTTCACGGGTTGTGAGGCTACTTACAAAAACAGCTCCTTTTGGTGAGGGTCCTCAAAACTGAACTGGTTTTTTCTTATAAGTTCAAAAAATTCTCCTCGCCTCCTTGAAAATAAAGAGAAATATTTGCTAGTTAGGAGGAGACTCTAGGCTCTTATCCCTTTGGTCTACAAAGAACCAGGGACTCAATTTGGGGGGGAAAAAGCCTCTAATGGTTTTTGCCCATCTTAGAACCCAATATAAAAGTCATCACTAAAAAAGCATTAACACCTGCCCTGGCTGGCGTGGCTCAGTGGACTGAGCACCGGCCTGCAAACCAAAGGGTCATCGGTTCCATTCCCGGTCAGGGCACAGGCTGGGTTGCGGGCCAGGTCCCCAGTGGGGGCGAGTGAGAGGCAACCACGCACTGATGTTCCTCTCCCTCTTTTTCTCCCTCCCTTCCCCTCTCTAAATATAAATACATAATTTTTTTAAAAATAAAAATCATTAACACTTTGCAGTTCCCCCTTCTACCATTTTCTTTGGGTGACACATTAAACCACACCTGGTACAGATCACATATAATGGTAACCTCAGTTCTTAACCACAATTTCAAATGAATGCAACAATAGGAGTTAAAGATGCGATGCTGAGACTGATTTGAGAAATTTCAGATGCATGGCATAAGATCTATATGGTTACAGCTTAATTCCAGATAACTCATATATATTATGGTACAGGGTAAAGAAAAAGGTTCTAACAATTGCTCTGTGTCTGTCTAGCGTTGCGATGAGCTTCTGAAACAAAGAAAGGACAGGACAACAAGAAGCCAGCACCCATTCGGTGCCGCCGCGCACCCCTCCGTGCCCCGCACTGCCAGCATCTCGGGGAGTCAGAGGCGCCAGACACACCGGAAACACGGGGAAACAGGGCAAAGCGGGCCCGATGGAACCGAGAACGCAAACGGAAACGCAGGTTGCAGGAGGATTCGGAGGAGAGACACGTGCAGCCTGGGAAGGTTGGCGGGGGGCGGGGGACGGTTTGAGGTTACAGGTATTTTTCAAATTCTCAAAAATTTGATCTTTATTTGGCAATCATTTTGAATCAACTGGCTCCATTTTCTGCCATCCTGATGGGCTCTAAAGCGCTCCCCAATTCAGAGGAGCAGCAGGACTTTCGGACGCAGTCACGCTAAGAGGCGCGACAGCGGGGTCTGGCGTGCGCTCCCGGGTGTTGGCTCTTGGTTTCACTTCCCAAAAGGGCTCCTGCGAGGCTGCGACTGGCCTTCTGGAGGGGGAGAGGCCGCGGGTTCCAGGGAAACCTGGGAGTGCGCCTGCGCCCCCTCCCGGCCCCTGCAGCGAGCACAGGCCACACCGGCGCGCCCAGCCCACGCTGATCTCAGACCGGTGACTTCACAGGCCCGCGTGTCTTCCCCTCAGAAGCCTCCCGCAGCGACCCGGACCGCTCTGCCGCGACCCTCGCCCTGCACCCTAAGTGTTTCCCGGGATGGACTCGAACAGTGTGGAACAAGGACTGCCTATCCCAGGGAGTTTCTCGACACTTACTTAATGTACAGGGCCAGGTCTGTGGCTAAAATGGCTTGCTTGATGATTTTCAGCGTGGTCTTATACTCCTCGATGGACAGGCCACTGAGAATCTGGTTGCCCTTTAGGAAGAAAGAAAACCAGCGTTGGCACCCTCCCCGGAGAGCTGCCCACGAGGACGACAGAAAATGCCGCCGCAGGCCCCGCGCATGCCCGGGGCCCTGAGCTCTGTGGGCGGGGGCACCTGCGTGCTTGTGGTGAGTGCCCTGAAATGACGCTTCTCTTCTCCGTTCCCACGGCCGGTCCTGTAAGCAAACTGGCTTTCCAGCGGCGTGTCCGCCAGCCCCTACGCGCGCCCCGGCCTGTGCGCTAACCACAGAGCCCAGGGAGCGTTCACGGCTGTATTCTAACGGAAGGTGAAGCTTTGAACAATCAGAACCACATTCACGAAGAGCAGAGCTGTGGAACTTTTAAACAGCTGATTACTAAAGCATTATTTCTCTGTGCCTTTCATAATAAATCCAGTAGCATCCTGGCCCAGCTCAATGCCGTGTTAACTGAGTATGGAGAGCGCTGTGCGCGCCTTAGGAACACGGCCACGTAGAGGCGCCGCACATGAGCCAGCGGGCGGCTTCCCGGCTTAAAGCGAGGATGGCTGGGGCCACCACTCCGGACATTTAAAAGGAGGCTAGTCCATGCCTCCACTCCATGACCATCTTGTATTTCTTGCCTGCACTTGAAAGCGTACCCCTGATCTCGCGTTAAGTAAAGCACACCCTGGGTGCTCAGAATAAGCTCAACACTCGCACACGCCGTCGAATGTGCTTTCTAAATGCCGCGGCCGGGGGCGGGGGCGGGGGCTGTCCCGCGTCTGCGCTGCGGGTGGGCGGGGCGGCGCTCAACCTTGCTCCGCGGACGACGGGCCGTGCCCTGACGCCGGGCACATCTCTACCTGACGAGTCTGTGATTCCAGCCGTACACGTCGCTTTTAAATGCTAAATCATTTTAGAGTCCGGGCCAACCAGAAAACTATTTAGAAAATGCCTTCTGGGACATATATTTATTATAAGAGAAAACCATTTCAAGGAGAAAAACAAATGTCTTTTGGTGTTGCATTTTTATCTTCCCTCCCAGAAGCAAAGGCTGTAAAAAATCCCAGTGTATCGGTGCTTCCGAAGACGGAATACGCAGGTGGGCCTCATAATTTGAGGTCAGCCCTATACACCACCAGGTTCCTTCTATGTTTTGTTAAGTAACAATGTAAATATTACATAAATTATGTCCTCTAATACCCGAAGTAGCTATGATAGGAATACTGTTAAATACGACTTTTAGAAGAGGTTGGCATATTTTCTTTTTAAAAACTGAAGAGGATATTAAAATGAAAGTTTCAGCAAAGTATATAGATAGCAAATCGCAAGGAAAGTACAGATGTTTCCGCTATTCTGTGACATACATTCCGGAAAAGTCTCAGTTCTAAAAGCTAAAAATAACATGGTCCCCGGGGAAACAGTGTCGGACAAACCACCCCGAGCCCTCGCAGCTGTGTAACCAGAGCACGAGCCAGGCCGCGAGGCGCCCCTGGGGCTGCCATAGGCCGGGCTGCATCCGCAAGGCTGCCCCGGAGGACAGGGAAGGCCCACAGAGTGACCGGTGGAAAGGCTGGGGGCTGGGGCCCAGAGGCTGGCTCGGGGCCGGGGCGCCGAGCCGGGGCGGCAGCCTCCCAGGAGCCCGGAGGAGAACAAGGCCAGGACCCCTGCGCTGTGCCCTGTGCCCTTGGGACCCTCAGGGAGAATGGCCAGGGCCACTCGGGCACGAGCCGGGCGCACGGTGCTTCCTTTCCGGCTGAAGGTCAAAATTCCGCTCCCCTAACTCTGGCGCCTCACCCAGGGGGACGTGCATGCATCACGCAGACATTGTCCCTGCGGAACAAACTCACGTGAGGCACCCGCGCTGTGCCCGACCCCGTGCGGGGTTTGTGAGGAGGTTGCCAGGCTGGGTGCGCGACCCTAGCCCCGCGCCCCCCGCCTCCCCCACCGGCGCACACCGAGGCTGGGGGTGGTGACACCGTGTCCCTCCCTTCACCTCCAGTGAGGAGGCCCCCGGGTCTCCGGCCTGGGTCTGGTCAGGGCCGGAAGACCTGTCTGCAGCGGAGAGGCGCTGCCCTGTGGGACGTGCGTCCTTGACGTTGGCAGGCGCAGGGTCCCTGTGAGTCCTGTCTCTCCAAAGGGACCACACAGAGGACAGAAGGGCCTGAGCAGGGAGGAGCCGACGAGGCTGATCAGATCTCCTGGGGCTGAGCAGGGGGCCCAGGGTGGCAGAGGGGCAGTGCCCGTTGCTCGTGTGAGGGAGCATCGTGGGAAACCCCCGGGGCGGGCTCACCGGCGGCAGGAAATCGCCCACCAAACAGCTCGGTTTCAGCACCCGCCAGGCACGAGGGGTGAGTCGCCCACAGCAGGGCCCGCCTGTGGGGACGCGCTTGCCGCTCTCCTTCCCTCCTCTCCCCTCTGCCCACCAAGTCCGGGGGTCTGGGGGGGGCGGAAGGAGTTAGGCGCCCGGGTAGGGGCGAAAGAAGCCAACAGGCAGTAAGAGGGGAACCCGAGACTGAGTCAAGGTCAGACTCTGGACTTGGACAGGGGACTGGCCTGTGGGTGTCTCACCGGAGAACCATAGCACACGTTGAGACCTCAAGTAGCTGGAGAAGGTGACAGGAAAAGTCACGGGCCACTCTGAGGCTCCTTCCTCCAGGCCTCAGGGGAGAAGCAGGGCACAGGGTGACATAAGAGGGGGAGAAAACGGCTTTAACACTCTATTCTATGCACTTGGCTGTCGACTGCAGCAGCTACAACTCACGTTTTCTTATTATAATGGTCACACATGTGCACAAGAGGAAATGCTTGTAATGAACAAACCAGAATGAGAAAATAAAAAGTATTAACCAGTCAAAAACAACCATTGTAACATGACGGTATCTATTATATTAATCTTATTTTCTTCAACATAAATATGTCTAAAAGGGCATATCATACTCTTCCTCACACTGACAAATATTCATGTTACCAAGATGCTGAATAGCTTTATTCCTTAAATGATATGTTCGTCGTCAGAAGTTTCAATAGCGAGAGGAAAGGGTACTTGAGAGCTGTATTGGCCACTTCATCTGACCAAAAAAAAAGCAGAATCCACTGAGGCCCTCAAACCAACACCGATTTTGTCGGTGTCTGACGGGGAACAGCTTGCAGAAAGCACGCGGAGGTGGGCGAGGAGCCAGACTTGCCTGCGCGGTTGGCCCTGCTCCGCCTGGGGCCTGGAGGGGGCGAGGCGGGGGGACCTCGGTGCCGGCTCTGCCTCCCTCACCCAGCGAGGAATGGAGCGCGCCCACAAGTGGCAGCGCCGGGCACGAACCCAGAACCCGCAACGCAGCGGAACTCAGAAAGCCCCCCGACCGACCGCGCGGCGCGGGCGCTCACCGGGCTGTTGAGGACCATCAGGCACTGGTCGAAGTGGTGGTGCTCCATGGTGGAGTGGCAGTACAGCTGGGCCAGCGGGTGCTCGCTCCTGCAGAGGCGGGGCGGGGACAGGAGGCTCAGAGACAGCGGCCGCCCTCTGCCACGGGCCCGCTCAGCCATTTCTGCTTATCAGCCAACTGGAAAAGAGACTATTTCACAAAGCTCATGAATCCAGCCTTTTTCTCTTCTTTTGCTGAGAACACGGGGGGGCAGGGGGCAACCTCTGGGGAGGGAGGATAAAGAGCAGCCCTGCTTTCAAATGCGGGCTCGGAGCAGGAGCACGCCTGTCGGCCTTGCGGCCTGGGCTGTGGACGCGGCACCAACTTCTCAGACAGGGAAACGACCTCTGAGGCAGTAGTGCCGACAGTGGTTTTCCATTTCAGGACTACAGTTAGTTCAGAATCTGCAACAAACGTCCACACCGGCCTTTCCCGTGAACTGGCCGGAGGTCAGGCGCCCCTCGTGCCCGAGGTGGACAGAGCTGGGGGTCAGGGACGCCAGGCGAGGGGAGCAGGCCAGGTCGCCACGGGGGGCCAGGCAGGTCGGCCCAGGGAGCTCTCTGCGCTGAACCCGGGAGGACAAGAGCGGCGTCTGGCTGAGCGAAGGAGCACGTGAGCGCCTGAACTCGGGCGCACACCAACGCGCCCACGGCAGGCGGGCCGGCCAGGAGGCGCGGCGCCCCGGGCACGGCCTACGTGGTCCTCCTCGGAGGGGAGAGGGCAGGCTGCCCACCCAGGGAGGGGCCCAAGCGTCTGACAAGGAACCGAAACACGAACATCTACCTCAGTTCACTTGCCGAAGCAATGACCAGGAAGGACAAGTGGCAGGAAAAGTTCGGTTTCTAACTTTGCTGCCACATGAGGGCTTTTTCTCTTTCTCACACGTCCCTTTTATTTATGCGCCTTCTTCCCTGTACTGGGTTTCCCTGTACGGCATTTGACTGTCTGCGGAGGTGGGGACCCCGCAGCCCGTCCGGAAGCGGGTCCTTCGGTGGGAATGGTCGTGGCCCCCGTATCCCCCCGAGAGAGGAGTCACCCCTTTCCCACTAAGGAGAGAAAAGGGCACAGCCCGGGAATCGTCTTGGTTTCCTCTGCTCAGCCCGCAGGGAGGTGGGAAGGAGCAATAGTCCCTGACGCTCCTTCGCTTCCTCACAAAAGCTGCCACGGCCTGGCCGAAGTCGGCGGTGCGGAGTGTGTGGAAGCAAGACGCTGCGCCCCGTGACTTTTCCCAGGACTTTTTTTTTTTTTTTTGAAGTGGAGATGACGTTTCTCCAGATGTTTTTCCGGGTGGTTATTTTTAAATAAACAAAGGAAAAAGCCGCAGAGTGTTTTCCCCCATCCGGTGGGCGGCGTGGCATCCGATCTGCCCGCTAACTACGTGGCGTTCGGCTGTGCGATCCTCCAGCTGCGCTCGACTGTCCGCCTGGCGGTGGCCCTGCTCCCTGTCACAGCGAGAGGCTCAGGACCGCAATCCCAGGACAGAGGGGACCAAGCCAGTTCACCAAAACGTGAGATTTTAAGGAGGAAACAGCCCGTCCTGACACTCTGGCAGGGCTGCTCTCCTTTCCCATCAAAGGTCGGCAGAGGACGCGGCGGCTACACCACGACAATTCCTTTTACATGAAGTTTTCTATTTATTTAGATAAAGGCAGGGTGGTTTGAGCGCTTTCTGAAACTCTGTCCAGATACCAGACATCTGGAATTTCCGCAAGAGATCTACCCATTAGTGGAATCACTTGCATACTTAAAAAAATGCTCAGCACTAAGAGATTTTTCCCATTAAAAAGGGGGCTTTTCAACTTAGTTGCTGCAGGAAAATAACAATGTCACAGTGGCTGAAAAAGTGTGTCATCTTTACAGCTCATTTGTCACTGCAAATGTCGCTGAAGTAAGGTCCATATGGGAGCCTGCAATACTTGTCTGAAGAGTCAGTATCTTACTCTCGAAATCAGCCAGAAAGCAGGCGGCTGCTGTGGGGGCCGCCCCCCGCCTCCCCTGCTAGGATTCATTAGACACGTACGTACTGGTGTGTCCCCTCTGGGGTTCCCCATGGGGTTGGTGTGTGTTGGCTCTTGAACGCTGCACTAACCCTATACGGTAGGTTAAGGTAGGTAGGTGTAAGGTACGTATGCTGGCCTCTCCACTTTACAACCAGGAAAGTGAGGTGCGGGGAGACGAGCGCCCTTGCCCCAGGTCACACAGGAGGGTGGGAGAGGGAGGATTTGAAGCCGAGTGTGGCCACAGAGCCCCAAGTCCCCAACACTGTGCTACGCACGGCCCCTTCACCAGGATCAAACAAAACCTCCTCCTCCTGCGTCCTCACTAAGCACCCGGGACCGAGTAAAGTGCTATCTTTTTCATTAGGGTGAAATTTTACCTTTCTGAGCCAGCCTGCATGGTTTTCTATGAAGCTCTTCAGTTCGACCTAATACAAACTCTTGGTAATTATCTCATGAAGTAAGATTCTCAATATACATATGTTTAACTTCAGGCCAGACATGTTACCAACACAGCACCAGGCTCGCACTACCCTTTCCATCTCCCTTAAATAAAACCAGAGAGTGTGGCGGGCCCCCGACCCCCTGAGGCTCTGCACAGGCCGCGCAAGCCCGGGTTCGGCTGGGCAAGACGGCCCTGCAGAGGGGAGCCGCCCCCGCGCGGCCGGCGTCCTCACCGCTGGATGTAGGAGTTGTTCACACCGCGGTGGTCCAGGTCGTGGCTGAGCGCGGCGACCAGCAGGGCGAGCACCTCCAGGTCCGACAGCTTGCTCTGCACGGAGGACACGGAAGGGTCTGGTAAGGGACTGGACCGACCCGTGCGGTCTCGGCGGTCGTCCCCGGTGCCGTACACGCACGCGCTTTGCCGTCACGGGGACCGCGCGGAAGCCCTGCCCTGCGGGGAAGGGCTGTGCCGCGTCTTCAGAACGGGGTTATTGCAAATGTCACTTATCGACAGAGGAGGCGGAAATGCCTCCGCTGATCGCCTGCCCACCGCGGAGAAGGCCGCTCATGCCCAGCGATCTGTGCGCGCAGGCGCATAGCCAAGATAACCGTGGACGACCGTGCCCTCCCCGACCCCCAGGGCCCTGCAGGCTGCGCGCCTCGCTCTCCGTTCTCGACGCGGAGCCCAAAGGCTCACAGCAACGTGGCTGTTCGGAAGAACAGCACACAGGAGAGGGCTAGGGGTGAACACTGGTTTCCAAACTGCACCATATGTTCCAAAGCCAATCACAGGTCTGTGGTTGTCTTTTTTTCCCCTGGGGGCGGGGGGATAGCTTCCATTTGCATGTTCTATACCTGTTCTTCTCGGTAAGAAAACACAAGTGGAAATTCATAGCAGTTCTGTTCTACTGGAATTCTCAACACATGGTATATTCATAACAGACACAGAAATCAGCACTTTGTTTTTTTGCACAGAAGCTGGGATAGTATTCAACAGTTTAATTCTCATGGCCTTTCCAGGCCCCGACTTAAGGGTAGCCTGTTTCTTACAAATGTCGGCTCTGGCCCCAGCCATTAACATGTGCCCCCCATGGAAGCAGAGGCAGAGAATAACAGTTTCAGAAATCGGTAATTAAAAAAGCACGGAAGCTCTGAATTTAAAAATCCCATGATGGACACCTGGGATCACTTACCGAGAATAACTGTCGGTCCCCATGGACGCGAGCATCTAAGGCCAGAGGCGGGCATATGGCGCGGCCTGGGGAGGGAGGAGCCGCCCCAAGCCTTCGGGAGCCGTCTCCCTCGAGAACGGGGCCTGGTCAGCGCCCGTGCAAAACCAGCGGGCTGCTCGAGAGAACCCGCGACCGAGGACCCTGACTGCTCTGCGAAGCCAAGCCCAGGACCCGCGCGGTTTGAGGAGTTCTACTATGGAGCAGGCTGCACGTGAATGGGAGGAACCTGACACCTCTTCTTACACTGTGGAGTTTTCCTCTGAAGGAAATATGTATTTGCCCAAGCACCATTTAAATTTAACATGAAGTTATTTAAAGCGTATTTGCATGTGCCATATCCATTATACATGAAAGAACAGTAGCTGCTAAGTGTTTTGCCATCCTGCCTTTCATTAGAACATCATTTATTCTGCGCCTGGCAGTAAATATCATTCTCAACCATCATCAGTGTGTGTTAAAAAAGCTTGAGGGAATATGCTGTAAATTTTACCAGCAAAGCAACACAATGTCCCAAACATATCGACAGCTCTGCAGGTACCTGAATCTTGCCGGACTTCAGGGCAGCAAACATGCACTGAGCTGTGTTGAAGGCATGTCTCCAGTTATGATAGGCCACATTCTTCCGGTAATTCTTCTTCACGCTTAAAATCCACCGGCAAAGAACCTTCCGGGGAGAAAGCACAAGCAGTTACAGGAACTGTGACGTTCACCACATACCCGCTCCGCTGCAGGCGCTGCACGGAGCACCGGTGTCGAACCCTCCCGACTCCTGGGCAGGCGCCACGATTCGATCGAGTTAATCCGGAACAGGATGCTGCCCGCAGAGAAGGAACACGCTCAAGGTCGTGCTGCTCCTAGAGGGGGGGCCGAAATCAGCCCTTGAACAGCCCGGCGCCAGAGCCCAGCCCACTCACTGCCGCGCCAGTTAAGTCGGACGGGAAATGAGAGACGGCGCTAAGAAAGGCGCGTGGGCATGGGAGGCCGCTGACAAGCTTCTTGAAAGATATCGTGTCTGTGTGTCGCCATGAGGAGAGTCCAAATAGAGAGGCACATGAGCACGGATTCCCTTTCAGGGAAAGAGCCGTGTGAGCAGCCACCGTCCCGTCCCTCTCAGGCTCTGGCTGTTTGTCCATGAAGGGGTTTAGGGCTGGCACCCGGGGCCTGAGGGGGGACACTGTAGATGGCACTTGTCCACAGGGGGGCTCCCAGCTCTGACGCAACCACTGGCTCTCTGTCCCGTTTAAACGATGCTTAAGTATCCAGACAGAAATACTGCTTCGTTACCAAGAAGTAATTAAAAAGTAATAATATACACAAAATAAAGCCCTGAGATCCATAGGAAAAATATTTTGAAGGTGCAACAAAAGGAGGGGCTGTGGAGAAAATCTCAGCGGCTGGGTTGAGTTCCCCTCCCGAGGGGTGCGCCGTCCCCGGAACCCCAGGGACGGAGGGCCGCTCAGCAAGCGGCTCTGCATCCGTGTCCACCTGGAAGCTGCCTCTTCTCGATCCCATGCGACCTCCTATGCTCTGGGGATCTGTGAAAACAAGCGTGTGCTCCTCCCTACACGCGTCACTGGGGACGCCTCAGACACAAGGGCGAGGCCCAGGGATGGGAAGAAGGGCCCCGCAGAGAAGGGCGCTGGGACGTTCGCGGTGCCGCGTGCCAGCGGCAGGAGGGGCCGCAGCCATGGAGCCCCCACGGTGGCGGAAACTGCCGTGGAGGGTCAGGTGAGGAGTGGGCGCCTTCATGCCCGCCCTCCTCTCTTCGGGCCTCTCTGTGCTGCGTGGGGACGCAGGTCCCCGGGGATGCTGGTGCTGTCTGTGTTGAGGAACTTGCCTTTCATGAGTTAACCAATTGCTAAATGGTGGATTCCTCAACCTATTCATGCCCCTGATGAGACCCCTGCGCGGAGGCCAGCAGCCGCTTTCAGCCTTTCTCACCTCTGGCACGTGGACGCTAACATTCCGCGGCACACCAAAAACTACACCGTTTGTGCTGATTTGACCAAAAAAAAAAAAATAGGTATAGTTTTGATTTGTTCACACTGGATGACTATTGCTGTTGGCTGCTGTCATTTCTTTATCTGAGAGTCTAAGGGAGAAGAGGTCCGTGCCCCTGACTCAATAGTCAGGTACTGCATGTTTTAGAAAGTCTTGCGATGCATCGGTTAAAAATCGCTGGACTAGACAGTCAACTGACTAGAAAAAGTAACTTCCACGGCGAGCGAACGGGTGGACGTCTGCTTTTCAGACAGCCCCTTCCGCCCCCGTGTCGGCCGGCCCGCCCGCGCAGCCGGCAGGACAACGCGGCCGCTCCGCGCACGGGGGCTGGCGGCACGGCTCTGGCCCTGCTGTGTCCTGGGACGCCCGTGAGGCTGTCGATGGTGTTAAAACGCGTTTTCATGCCCACAGGGCGGCCCCGTGGGCCCAGGGCTGGCCTCCCCCTGGCCCTGTGGTCCCTCGTCTCCCGACGAGCTCACTCAGCTCTGGCCCCTCCCTGCTTGGTGGCATCAGGACCTCTGAGATCAGATCACGTCACTTCCTGCTTCAAACTCCCTGGTGACACCGCTGTTTTCAGGACAAAATCCAGATTCCGCCGAGCCGCTCACGAGGGTCCACACGACCTGCTTCTCAGCGCCCTCTCCAGGGCATCCCTGCCGGCCTCCCCCCTGCACGGTGCCCCACCCCCACCCACCCCCACCTCCTGCCTTGGCACATCGGACTCTCTGTGACAAAGTCTCTCCTGGTCCACTACCTGGTGCTGGGTACATGTCTTTATAGCGGTTGGTAATTTTTCTTTAGAATTCCCCCGAATCCATTTTAAAATCCGTATTTCACACTAGCATCCAGAACCAATTCTCTCGTACAGACATGTGCCTCACAGGCGCACACAGCGCACATGACATACGCATATGGGACAGCACATGACACATGGGACATCACACCCATGACACGTGTGACATGCTCACACATGACAACACAGCGCGGACATGCATGCCACACAAACACACATTCACGCGCAACGGACACGCGTGCACGTTGGAAGGACACGCCCATGCCCACGCCCCCACCTCGTGCTTCATCTGGAAGTTCTGCACCAGGTTGAGGTCGGTGAACATCCGGATGGTGCACAGCGCAGTCTCCAGGTCGGACAGCTCGAAGTCGCTGAAGCTGAAGTCGGTGATTTTCAGGGTCTGGGCAGATGGCACCACAGCAGCCTTGGGGGAGAGGGGCAGAAAACGGCACAGCCGTGAGTTACACGCAGGGCTCCCATCGCCCCCTGGCGCGCTCTGGGACACAGCAGGCCGGGCTTGCTGTCCTTTGAATGCAATATGCCAGAAGCCTCCCACCCAGGAGGCCGGTGGCTGCCCTGCGGCTGAACCTAGAACAGGACGCGGGACGAAGGCCTCCCGTCCTGTTCACTAACAGCTAATTACGGCGTCGTGATCCGGGACTGTCCCGGGGCCGGGGGCTGGGCGTCCCGTGGGGAGCAGGACAGTGACGAGTCACACACTTTACATTCAACTCTCAGGCATCCATTCCCGAGGCGCACACTCCTAAGCACGGGGCTGACTTCCTCCCCCTGCGGGGGTGGGGGGCGGGGCAGAGGCACTACCTGCACCGGGCCCACTCCCAGCGCCCCCCCGCCCCGCCCCCCGCCCGCCCGCCGCCCCCACCCCCGCGTGCCTGCTGCGGGGTCTCTGGGGTGGGTCTGGGGAAGCGGCTTTGTTTCTTGGAGGGGCGTCTGTTTTTTAATGACCATCCTTGGTGTGGACGGCAGGTGATACCCGCAGTTTCGTCAGCCACGCCTGGCCCTTTTGCACTGATGCTCCGTTGGGCCTCCTGCTTCTCCCGCTAACACCTGCTCTGCAAGGGGTGAGCCCTGCAAGGCACGGCGCCCCCTGCGGGAGGCCCAATGTCTGCAGAGCCGACCGGGGCTGCCGAGAAGCTGCTCAAGGGCGCGGAGCACACTGCAATGTGGTGGTTTCCTGCCTTTCTCCTGCGTCCCTGGGAGCTCCACGCAGGCTGTTATGAGGACACACCTCGGTACCCATGGTGACTGATGGCGGATGCCGTTTTGAAATGTGTTAATATGAACATTTACTAAATGAATGAAAGAAAAACAATTTCAATCCCTTCATTTAATTTGAGCCATAAGTTCTGGTGTTAAGGACCCAAAGCCTCCTGGGAAGGCGAAGCCCTGGGCCGGCTCTGGGACATAGGCGGGCTTGGCACGCGCTTTCTGAGTGCTCTTGTTTGGTGCTGTTATTAAAAATCACCAAGTTCGTTATGTTGTTTAAGAATTGGGAGAGTTTAGCAAAAATAATGGATTTCTGGTTCCTCCTGAAAACCAAGCCATGCTGACCCCAGCTCCCGCGAAGCAACACCGGCCGCGGCGGCGTCCTGGCCCCGCAGACGAGCAGAGATGCCAGCGTCTCACCCGGGTTTCCTGCGGGACTGGGGGGTCAGCACTTGCAGGACCCCTACGCCCCCACCCCTGCACCGTCCACCCCACGGGCACTTCAGCCCAATGGGGCCGAGAGTCGCCTGAAGAAAAGAGGCTTTAGCCTGGGGTGGCAGTGGAAGGGAATTAGTCACCTGAACCAGGTCTCCTCCCTCTGAGGCTTTTTCCTTGACTCTCTCCAAACCCTTGGGTTTCCGGTGACTATCTGGGGTATCACGGTATCCCTACTCCACTTTACCTCCTCCTGTTGTGAAGTAAAGAGGTCGAATACCACAATCTTGTGGAGGGATCTAGAGCTTTCCTTACCAGTGAGGGCGCTTGCCCTTCTCCTGCTCAGCTGGCCCCTCGCCGCTGACTTCGCAACACCAGCGTGTTGTGTTTAAGCTTTGCATGAACAGGACCTTCCTCGAGCTCCAGACTCAGGCTCCTTCCCCAAGCCCCGCCTTCATGGAAAACGTGCCTTCGGTGACGCTGGTCCCGCAGGCTGAGGCGCGGGCCGCTGTGCGGAGGAGGGTTTGGATGTTTAGATAAAGGGCTTCTTGTGTCCCGCAGGCCCCATCAGAGCTCGAAGCGGAGGGTCAGCTCGGACGCGGGGAGGTGGGGCAGCCGCCCTGGGGCGCCCAGCGGAGCACAGCTGTTCCCTCCCGCCCGCTGCACTCTGCAGCAAACACGTGTTCTTTCCTTAGGGCATCGTTAGTCATGCAGCAGGAAGTTTTCTTTCTTTCCCTCCACAAAGGATGTTCCCCATGTGGCAGGGGACAGAAGCCAGCGCAGCTGGGGCCTGTCGGCACCGACGCCCACTCCCACCGGACTCTCCCGAGGGCCAGCGCCTCTCCTTCTGCTGGCTCGGCCAGGCCGCGGCCGGGCACGCCACAGCCCACCCTCCCTGAGTGGACCTCGTGGGGGTGGCAAACGTGTCCGTCCAGACCCCTGCGGTCGGGGACGCAGAGGCCCAGCATTCCTGGGACCCATGACTCACGGGACGTGAGAAAGTCATACGTCCCTTAAAGCTCTGACCATCACCAGGGATCCAACTTTCTGTCGGCCTTGAATGGCCTTGGGAAGGAGATTTTAAATTCCTGTGTATAAAACAAGAGCCAGCACCGTGCTCACAGCGGGGGACGCGCGACGTCCGGGGCGGGTCTGGGCGCACGACTGTGGGCTTTCACAGCTGCTTTCTGTGACAGTGTGATTTGTTAGGATTTGCAGACTGAGAGTCCCGACTCTGCTTTCCTTCAGGGGACAACATAATGCATTGCAGGTGGCGTTGAAGGCGAACAGAAACAGCGTGTTTTAAAGATTCTGTGAAGCAACGAGGCGCCGTAAACGTGTCCCTGTCTTGTGACTGAAGAGGCCGACTGCAGGCCCCTGGACCGTGATGCTGTGAACCCACAGACAACGCTGCTGAGACACCTCGTGCCTGATGAGAACACGGTTGGGCCTTTCGAGGGCTGGGAGTAATAATTCATGTCCAATTAACCAAATGTGGGACGCAAGACACACAGCTCGCTCTGCTGAAGACGTGGTCGGGAGGCAAGCGTGCTAGCATGACCTCGTTTTGCTTCCGAGCTGTCCAACAACCAAGAAGCGAGTTTGCTGCTCCTGAGCCTTTGGCGGAAAATCTTCCTTGGAGTCACCTGCCCATCATTCCTTTTCCTCTCCCATGACCCCTTTCCACCGTTCCTGCAGAAATTTAAAACAAGCAAGCGGCGCTGACTGAGAGGGAGCCTTGCACGCCGGGGGGAGGGGTGGGCTCGGAGCTACGAAAACGCCTCCGCTCCTCAGCGACCCTTAACCCCGCCAGCTGGTCAGGGAGCGGCTGACTGGGGGGCGCTGACGCGACCACGCCCCAGGCTGCTCCCACGTTCGCGTTTCGGCAACATTCATGACCACAGAAAGAGAAGCCTCAAGCGCGGTGAGAGGGACGTCTGCTGTTCGGGGCTAGTCCCCGCGTCCCACTGGCTTTGTCACCAGGCGACGGGGTGTCCTCCCCGCCCATTTCCTCGCCTGTGACGTGAGGAGGTGGGATCAGAGCGACTCTGAGGCCCGGCAGCCGGGGTTTATGGCCCGCTGATCTCTCTGTCCACGGGACTCCCGGAGCTGTCACGGCCGTCCCAGCACCAACCCGAATGCCGCCCTGCCGGCGCCTTTCCGGGACAGGGCCCCAGCTCTGCCTGACTCTCCCGCCCCGGAGCTGACACGGCCATGGCGTGCTTTTCATGCGTGATCCCACGCATGGAGTTTTCCCTCTTCAGCAGCTCTGCTAGGCAGTTACTCCAAATGGTCAGTACTTGACCGGTCCCCTCCGGCAGGGAATTGGTTCTCCAAACAGAAGGTTTACGTTGTTCTTACAACACATGGAGCTTTTCCCTGGGACGTTTTCCACCTGCCCGTTGTACCCGGGCGAGTGTCCGAGCGAGCGTCTGCTTCCTCCAGCGCACGCTGTGAGGGCGGTTTGGCAAGAAGACCTGGCCCACGGCCGGGGACATCCAGTCCTCGCTGCAGCTACTCACCAGGTCTGCGGAGTCCGGCTCCCTCCCGCCGTCTCCACTGCCAACAGCTGACCCTTCGGAAGGTGTGTGGCCAGAACCCACGGCTCTACAGCTCTCTGAGGCAAATTTGTTTATCACCCTCTTTCTACGGATGAAGACACTGAGGCATGGGAAGGCGCGCCCGCCGGCGCTCACAGAGCTGGGCCGCGACCCTGCACGTCCCCCCCCAGACCCCTGCTGTCCGCTGTCGCGCTCTGTTCACGATGGTCGGCGTTGTCAATGGGAGCGCATCTCCGCGCCCTTGACAGTCTGGCTCTGTCACTGGCGAGCAGGTGGCTTTTATACACGTAGTCAGCTGTGGTACTCTTTCTAGCTGTGTCCTCATTTTGAAAGGAAAAAAAAAGCAAAATCTTGTTGAACGGGTAGAAGCAGCTAGGCTTGATTAGAGGCTTTCCAAAAGTCTGGATTTTCCAGACGCTGCTGATTGACTGACTCATCCACTAACTCAGCAGAACATGACAGCCAGGTTCTCGTTAAGCAGTTACGGAGTGGCAGCTGCTTTCCCAGCACTGCTTTATTATCACGATCCTTAGGACAGCAGACACGCGTGTGACTGGAACACGCGGCGTGAGCGCAGCAGCGGGGCCTGCTGGCACTTTGTCCGAGTGGCCCCGAACAGAACCACCACAGAGAATGCGGGTGGTCATGCAACGTCTTTTTTTAAGTCACGTGAGACAGTCAATGTTACATGTCCACCTGGCCGGCCATGGAGTGCCCAGAGTGAGCCTTATTTCGGGGTGTGTCAGGCAGGGGTGTGTGAGACTGGAGTCGGTGGACCCGCGGCAGGAGCTCGTCCTCAACCCCGCTGGGGGCATCGCCCAGCCTGCCGGGGGCCGGGAAGGAACAGCGGCCAGAGGAAAGGGAGTCGCCCCTTTGCTCCCACCTGCCTGCGTGAGCTGGGACAGGCCCTCTCCCCTCAAGCGCTTGGGCAGGATTCAAACCAGCAGCTCAGCTCCCCTGTTCTCGGCCTTTAGGCTCGGACTGAGCGACACGGCCCCATTCCCCTGGGTCCTGGCCTGTGCTCAGGCGGCGGCGGCTGGGGCTCTTGGCTCCCACACCCGCGTGGCCAACCCTCCCCTCCCGCTCGTTTCTCCAGAGACCCCCTCGTTTCCTGAAGCGGCCCGGGAGGAAGTGAGCCGGGGGCCGTGGGGAGGTGCCGGGCAGCGATGCCCTCCTTTGTTCAGCTCTTTAAAGGCCACTC